GGGGATCCTTAAAAGAAGAATTTTGGTTAATTGTCAAATCCTGGGAGAGGTAACTTTATCATTTGTTATCCAGTCTCTGTGTAATTGGAAAGTGTTTCAAGGCCTGGTTAGAGTAGTCTGTGTGGCTGGATCATCTCAGTCAGCCACCTCCAAATTGTTCTGAGCAATTTGTAGTCCAAAGCCAATCCATAGGTAGTGTTTTTCAGCTTAGTGGTGTCATCATAATCCTAGAGGAATCATTGTTGTAGGATCCCATCTTCTTTTTGGAGACTTCAGAGATTGCATTAAGTCAGAATATTTCTTTTCTTGGTGATTTTTTCTGGGTAATTCTCCCTTCTGCTTTGGATGCTTATTTTTCCAAAGGTCTTAAATTTCTCAAGATGTATGCTTTTATTTTACTGAAGAGACAAAAACAAAACCCTTCTTCAACCCTAACATTGGGGAGGTTCCTAATGTAATCTTTATCAATTTTGATTTAGGATTTCTCCTGAAATTTTTGTTTTGTCTTTTATTGCTATTTCATCATCAAAAGCAGTAGGCAATAGGCTCTTTAATTTCTTTGGGAAGGAATTTCCTCCATGATGACAAGAAATAACTGAACCAGATTTGTCATAGGGGCCCGTAAAACTCCCCTCAAGGAGTTTCCTGATGGCAAATGATTATCTTGAATATCTCTTGTTGATATATGTTCATTAGTTCACTACCTGCCTTTGTCATGCCTTCTTCATAAGCAAGAAGGGAAGGGTGTTGTTCTTGGATTATGCTTAGGAAAATCATTGTTTCTAGGAATAAACTGTTTACAATTCTTTTTATTAAGACAAAGTTTTTCTGTATAGCTCTGTAGCCTGTCCTGGAAAATTCTCTGTAGACCAAGCTGACCTTGAACTAACAGCCTGCCTCTGCCTCCTGAGTGCTGGGATTAAATGCATGCACCACCACTGCCTGGCTACAACCTCCTTTAAGCAACATCATTTGCCATAATTATAACACTTGATATTTCGATTTTTCTCAGACCTCTGGAAATCATCTCTCCGATCCAACAATCACTATGGTTCATGAGATTCAATATTGATTGTATTTCAGATTCAATCCTCCAAGGGTGCTGACTTTATTCTTAAGGGCCTAATTATTAGTTTACATTGAGAAGTAGCATCTTCAAATGCCAGAGATTAAATTATTATTTGTCTACCTTCTGAATTTGGTATCATTCTATTTAGTTTTGAAAATCTTTGTTAAAAAATCTGTAAAGACTTCCTTTTGTGGGAGGACCTGCATAACTTTAGTAAATGACTTGATTTTCTTTCCTGCTTCTCCAGTTCTGTGACAAGCATTCAAAGCTGCTGCACAGTATAAGTGAGGACAGGGTCATCATACAAAGATTGCCTTTCTATAGTAGCATAGTTTTCTTTTCCAAGAATTTGATCTTGGAAGATTTCCATACCTCTAGCTTTACTGCATTGTTCAATAATCTTAGCATTTTCTCTGAACCAGATGCTCCATTGTAATTGTCCAGGCTGTAAAACAGCTTCAACCAAGTCTATCCAGTCTTTAGGGATAATTCTATTACAAACTGACCACAAGTTGAATATTTGCTTCATTTTCACAAAAGCGAATGCATTCCGTATGAGACTATCACTTCCTTGAATCTCCTTAAATCTAACATTGGTATAGGAGTCCAATTAGGTCTTATAGAGTCTCTGTCATTTGTCAATTCCTGTAAGGTTACTGGATGTAATAAGTTTGTTTGTTTGAAAACCTTAGGCTGTTCCTCTCTAAATTTATAATGCAATGCTGAATTTGGTTTTCCATTAATTCCTCTTTCTGGATCTAAATATCTCTGTGATCTGTTTTATTTAAGTTTTCCTCAGGTCTTTATCTTGGCAATCAAACCAGACAACATTTTAAGAGATAACCCAAGAATTATCAAAATGACAAGAATTATCGAAATGATAATTAACAGTATGTCAATCCCAGTTAAGATGATTATCCCTTCATTTAGTTGTTCCATTTTAAAATTATGCATTGCATAATCATACAGACAATTAACTTTATCATCATACTCATGTTTCTCATTTTTTAATGTGGGAAAAGCTCTCCCTTTTAACTAATTCCTCCCTTAAAGAATTTCTAATTTTCTCACCAAATTTGCCACCAATGATGATGAAGATGTGAGACTTATTGATACTGTGTAGAACAGTAAAAACCTGACTGGATTTCAAGGTAGCTACTTAGTTTGTCAGCAGCCTGAGAAGGGGGTTCAGGGAAAGCTCACCAGAAGAGAAGAAAACAAAAACTAGCCGGTAGGGTGGTGACTCCAGCCATGTGTAACTCCAGCCTCTGCCAGTGGAGTTCATACCCCAAACATTGGGTGTCAGATGTAGCATGACTAATAAACACCCAGAGACAGATATTGGGGTTCAAACTGAAGATCAGAATAAGAAAGCAGCTAAGCCATTACAGACTTCTTACCTCTACCAAGGCTCAGACAAAGGGGCAATCCTGTCCTCAGTGTGATTGCATACTGCAATGCTCTCCACTAAACCGAAGACTCTACGCTCTGATCTTCAGGCAGGCTTTATTTTAAAACACAAATAAGATATCACTACATAACACTCACTAATGCCCTCCAAGGACACCCATATATACATAGCATACACTTAAACACACACACACACACACACACACACAAATACACACACACACACACACAGAGGGAGGGGGGAAAGGAGATTGTTTTTAAATAAAATAGATGTTAATGACATATACTCAGACATACCTATTTTTTTAACTTAGACATTATTAGCCCTTGTTATTTTCTACTGTGTGTTGTCTAAAACAGATACTTAAAAAAGACTTCTGTGTCTATTTGAAACTGTGGTAATTACTGATGCGACTTTTTTGGAGAACACTGGAGTTAATTACATGTCCAAAGTGACCAATGTCTCAAACAGAAGAGATTAGCCCAGCTCATCAAGGCTATTAAACACACAGAGAGGAAAACACATTTGAAGTGTATAAGCTAAAAGCTCTAACTACAAAATGAAGTAAGAATAACGTAAAAACGAGTTTATCCCTTCTAATTTGACTAGTATCCAGAGTGTGTAACAAAAAGGATGAGAATAGATAACTCATTTTCTCTCTCTCTTTTCTTCTTTGTTAAAGGGCATTGGTAGTAAATGATTCCTAAAGAAGAGCTACAATCTAGCTGAAGAAAGGTTTCATAAGTTGACACGTGGTTAGGTAAACTAATTGCAGCTCAGTTTAATCTCCCTTAACAATGCCCAGACTCACCATCTTCTTTCTTTCACCTTGTGTTTCTCCAGTATCTTCAGTAAGATTCGCTTACTAAACAATAATCACAGCCCAGTCCTGTCTTCCAGAGAAATAGCCTGACTTTCTTGATGAAATTTTGACTACTTATGATCTCTTTGGTCACCATTTTATATGCCAACCCAGGTACTAATATATTAGTGTATTAGTCCACATACAGACAAAAGGACCATATTTTTAATTACGTTCTGCCAATTCAATTTTGTTTCTGTTGAATTCTTTAAATTCTCCTCTTTTCTCATTTTTATAGTTTACTTCCTTTCCTTTATCAACTTTCATGTGTATTTATTTATTTATTTATTCAGTGCTTGAGTGAGTGGGTGGATGCATACAGCATGTGAATGTAGAGGTCAGAGTTCAACCCACTGGAGTTAGTTCAATTCTTCCACCACGTCGGTCATAGGGTTCAGGCTTGGTAGCAAGCATCTTTACTATTTCATCTTGTTTCATCATCAGCCTTCTGTTCCTTGATTCACTCACAGTATAAACTCATAGATTTTGAGAGTGCAGACTTCTATCTGTAGGTCAAGACATGCTTAACTATTAATTTACTTCAAACATTTCCAACCTCTTGCATATAAAAAATCCATTCTGTAAAATATGCATGTAGGGCATATGAAATTTGACATTTTAGGTATAAAGCATGTTGCAAGTAAACCTGGACTAAAAGTCACTGAATTTCCAATTATTTTTTCCATTTCAGCTTAAAAATAGATGATATACAGAAGGATGAAAAAGCAAATTGTGTACTTTCTCTGGGGAGACAGCAACTGACACTGGCAGTTATGCCAAGCATTGTGTTTTCTGTGGGGCCTCCCTTGTCCTTGCTGCCTCTTCTTCATTTCTAATCTCCACAGTCTAATGTAATAGTCCTTGCAGATTGGCAAAAGGCCTCCAGTAAATTCAGTCTGGAAGGACCTGGGACATTTCCTTAAATGGAGCTATTTCTGGGTCTGTAGGAATTATTTCAATTTGGAATCATTACAGCAATGTTCTGGTTGGTGCACACTGAGTACAACAAACACATTAATGGCTTTGAAAAGTTATGAATGCTCTGAAAAGGATCCTTTTCTCTTGAATCAACTAATATTTTTTAAGTCAGTTTGACACCATGGTTAGTTGGCTGTCCCAAAGCAGCCTTTGAATAGGTATTTAGTTATTTCTAGAAGCCTGGTAAGAACCAAGGAAATTATGTAGCTCATAGTTCATAGGTGTGAGGGAACCCTGAGGTACAGTATTTTAGGAGGGTAGCAATCCCCAAATCTGGCAGACACTGTAATAATTATAATTTTTAAGGGGTTATAACAAGAGAATCAAGGTACAAAACTAAGTTAAGGACATTACCAAAAGCCTGGTGACCTTCTTATGTCGTTAAGACAAGTAGTTTAAGTGCATCTCCTCTACAGCATGCATGTTTCTTCTATCTGGAGGCAGTCAGTGTGTTCAACATATCCAATGACTACCTAGAACTGTGACTAGAACTAAATACACACACATGCAAGCACACGTGCACACACACACAAGGTCTATGTATTTTTATTAATTTGAAAGTTATGCTCCAGCTAGGTACACCAATATTTCAAAAATTAAATAACTAAGCGGGTGCTATGTGTGATATGGCCTAATTAACTTTTCTCATCTTTATTTTTTTCCAACTTTTCAGTGTTTTCTGCATTCTTGGCCCAGAGGAATTGAATCCTGTTCTGAAGCTTTTTGAGAGATCAAAGTTCAGCATCATTAGTGAGTCTTAGCTGCTGACTGGGTACCACAGCAAAGGCTTTAGAGAATTATTTTTTCAGTGCAAACAATGACTTTCATGGACTGTAATCTCAGTATAACATGCTTTCTCTGTAACCTGAAAGAATACCCAGCACTCATCAGCAAATCTGTGGAGACCTTATAGAAACCCTCTTAACTGAACCACTGCGACTCTGGGTTAGCCAGGGAGAACCTTACCAATAGTAACTATCCACTTGCCTTCTGGAAGATTCAAGCACTGCCACACCGAGCTGCTGCGGAAATACCATGTCTAAGAACTCAGAGTTCATCAATCTGTCATTTTTATTAGACCATGAGAAGGAAATGATACTGGGAGTCCTAAAGAGAGATGAATATTTGAAAAAAGTGGAAGACAAGAGAATAAGGTAATGCATGTTTTTTGTTTTGCCCTTTTGACTGCAGTAATTTTGATTGATGGTGTGACAGTCGCACTAGGCAGTTACTGACCACGGGTTTTATGACTTTCCAGAAGGAGCCCAAATATTTGAAAATGATTTCAGCACTATATCATTTAGCCAGAGAAGAGGATGAAAATGAGCAAATAATAGAATGCTAATGAGATGAGAGCACTCCTTTGCTAAGAGCCAACCTAGTAGCAAAGAAGAAGACTCCCCAACTGTGGAATGCCCAATTGTGTCTTTGAACAACTTGCTACAGTGTTAGTTACTTTTACATTGCTGTAACTGTACAAACAAGTGAGGGGGGAGAATTTACCTTGGCTTACAGTTCAGAGAATGCCATCCATCATTCTAAGAAAAGGATGATGATGATGATGATGATGATATCGTGTCTTAGCAATCCAGGAAGTAGAAAAACAGACTAGAAGCAGAGCTGACCCATAGATTTCTCAACTTCCACCTGTGCAACTCTACATTCAGCAGTTAAGCCTTAAACCTAGGAAGCCTCTATAAACCGTCAAAGCAATGCTACCACCTGGGGACCAAGTTTTCAAACATATGCATCCATAGATTGACATCACACATTCAAATCTGATAGATCTAGTGTGCTCCCCAAAGGTTCATGTGTTGAAGACAACATCTCAATGGGAAGGGGTGGAATCTTTAAGGGGTGGGATCTAATTAGAAGTTTTGAGTCACTGAAAGCATGACCCTGGTTTGTTGCTTTCTGACCACCATAAGGTGTATACGCATCCCTTCCTACATGACCTTGTTATCGTGTGTTTTTACAATCTCTAAAAAAAGAGTAAAGCAGCCATTGAATGAAATCCCCTCCTTTTTCATTTTTTCATCTCAGAAAATTTTGTTCCACTAATAGAACTGGTTACCACTACCCCCGATTTCTCTGATTTAGATTCTTCGTCAACAAAACAATACCAATAACATTATTCTTCATATCACCTGCTATAAAGATGAAGGAAGCTGATACATATGCTTGTGAATCCCTCCTCCCAGCAACCTTCAATTGACTGTATATTATGCAAAATGGGTAACCTCATGAGTTCTCTCCTTTAGCAACTGCTAGCTGTTCATAAATTCTCAGGGGTGCACAGGATTTTGTGAACCTCTCCCCACCTGCACAACAGAAAATGAATGGCTCCAATCTAATGTAGGTTTCCTATTGATAACCAAAGTTGTCTGAAGTTTGTGAGTGCAGCAATGGCCATGCATGTCTGCAAATATTCCACCAACAGAGATTTTTGTGCTAATTATAGCCATTAAGAGGATCCTGTTGAAAACCCACTCATGACATTACCACCACCATCAGTAAAAGGAACAGAACAGAAAATATTACTTCAGCCTGGCCGTGCTGACCCATCAGCTGTGTGCCATTATCCAAAGTTACTATGACTTTTATCAAACACTAAAACCTGACAAAAAGTTCTTTAAGCTGATCTTCTCGCTGTGGTGACTGAAAAACTGAAGTGCAAGTTTATTGTTTTGCTCTGCATGCCTAGGTCCACTGAAATGGGCCACTAAGCAAGTCTAGACTTCGTACCATCAATCACCCATGCACAACCACAACTGAGAAACTGCCTTTTTCCTTTATCTGGAGGGTCATTCTTTCATTTTTGTTCTGGGGGAAGAGAAGGAAGTAGAAAGATTAGAGAAAAACAAATAAGGTAAACATTTGGTTCAAATAAATTTAATTTATTTTCAGGAATAATTTTTTCAACCTGGAAGTCAGGGAGGCCAATAAGTGCAAAGAATAATATTCTTTTAATACTCTATAAATATTTAATCTGCAAGTTTTTTTTACAAAATCTTATTACTTTACCACTAAGAATGAAATTAGTTTGACCTTTTCAAAAACCTGAAGACTTAATGCCTCCATAGAAATGTGGGACTGAACTTCTAGCTTGGTAAACATTTTATTTTAATCTTAAAAGAATTTTCAGAAAGATTCTTAACACATTAGCAGAAATCACAGCATGAGGGAATCTGGGGAGATGGCTCAAGAGTTGTACTGCTTGTGTAGAGGACCTGAGTTCCAGTCCCTGCACCCACGTTGACTGGCTCTCAACTGCCAGTGACTCTAGCCTCAGGCAGATCTGTCACCTCTGACCTCCTTGGGCACAAACACTCACGTGCATATACCCACACATAGATACATACATAATCATAATTAAAACTAAGATATCACAGTGTGAAAATACTAGTTCCTAAATGGAATGCAAACTGTTTATGAGTCCCACAGAATAATGAAGTTCTACCAAGAACCTACTAATTGTAGTGAATAGATGTATGGAGTCCAACTGAAATTTGATTTTACACAGTTTTCCTTCAAGTGATTTTTACTGTTTTATTGTCAAGGCATATTCTAGGTACAGACATACAAAGACTTGATATTTGGAGACTTGTCAAACATTAGACTACTAAATACATGATGAACTTTTCTTCAATTGAATTAATGTCACTATAGTCAAAATAAGTTTGTTGCTTTTCTTTTTTAATTTATTTATTTTTTATTAAAAATTTCCATCTCCTCTCCTCCTCCCACTTCTCTCCCCTCCCCTCCCCCCACTCCTCAACCTCCTCCTTCTCCAGGCCAAAGACCAGTCAGGGTTCCCTATCCTATGGAAAGTCCAAGGTCCTCCCCGCTCCTAGCCGTTCCAGGAAGGTGAGCATCCAAACAGATAAGGCTCCCACAAAGCCTGTCCATGAAGTAGAATCAAAGCCCAGTACCATTGTCCTTGGCTTCTCAGCCAGCCTCCACCGTCAGCCACATTCAGAGAGTCTGGTTTGATCACATGCTCCATCAGTCCCATTCCAACTGGCCTTGGTGATCTTCCATTAGATCTGTCCCACCGTGTCAGTGGGTGAACGCACCCCTCATGGTCCTGACTTGCTTGCTCATGTTCTCCCTCCTTCTGCTCCTCATTTGGACCTTGGGAGCTCAGTCCAGTGCTCCAATGTGGGTCTCTGTCTCTATCTCCATCCATCACCAGATGAAGGTTCTACGGTGATATGCAAGATATTCATCAGTGTGGCTATGGGACAAGGCCAGTTCAGGCACCCTCTCCTCTGCTGCCCAAGGAACAATCTTGGTACCTCTCCTTGGACCCGGAAACCCCTCTAAAGTCAAATCTCTTGCAAACCCTAAAATGGCTCCCATAATTAAGATACTTACTTCCCTGCTCCCACATCCACCCCTCCTTCATCCCAACCATCCCATTCCCTCAAGGTCTCCCCATCCTCCCCTTCTCCCTTCTCTCCCCACATCTCCGCTTATCCCCATCTCACCCCCACCCCCGTGCACCCAACCGCTGCCTGGCAATTTTGTCTACTTCCAATATCCAGGAGGATAACTATATGCTTTTCTTTAGGTTCACCTTCTTATTTAGCTTCTCTAGGATCACAAATTATAGGCTCAATGTCCTTTAATTATGGCTAGAATCCACTTATGAATGAGTACATACCATATTCCTCTTTTTGGATCTGGGTTACCTCACTCAGTAAAGTGTTTTCTATTTCCATCCATTTGCATGCAAAATTCAAGATGTCATTTTTTTTTTTTACTGCTGAGTAGAACTCTAAAGTGTATATGTGCCACACCTTCTTTATCCATTCTTCTATTGAGGGGCCCCTAGGCTGTTTCTAGGTTCTGGCTATTACAAATAGTGCTGCTATGAACATAGTTGAACAAATGCTTTTTTCATTGTTCAACATTGTTCATTGGGCATCTCTTGGGTATATTCCTAAGAGTGGAATTGTTGAGTCCTGAGGTAGGTTGATCCCGAATTTCCTGAGAAACCACCACACTGATTTCCAAAGTGGTTGCACAAGTTTGCATTGCCACCAGCAATGGATGAGTGTTCCCCTTACTTCACATCCTCTCCAGCATATTTTATTTTAGCCATTCTGACAGGTGTAAGATGGTATCTCAGAGTTGTTTTGATTTGCATTTCCCTGATCGCTAAGGAGGTTGAGCATGACCTTAAGTGTCTTTTGGCCATTTGAAATTCTTCTGTTGAGAATTCTCTGTTCAGTTCAGTGCCCCATTTTTTAATTAGGTAAATTAGCATTTTAAAGTCTAGTGTCGTGAATTCTTTATATATTTTGGAGATCAGACCTTTGTCTGATGTGGGGTTGGTGAAGATCTTCTCCCAGTCAGTAGGCTGCCTTTTTGTCTTTAATGACAGTGTCTTTTGCTTTACAGAAGCTTCTCAGTTTCAGGAGGTTTGAGGTGTGTTTCTTGTAGACAGCAGAATGTTGGATCCTGATTTCGTATCCATTCTCTTATCCTGTGCCTTTTTATAGGTGAATTGAGTCCATTGATATTAAGTGATATTAATGACCAGTGGTTGTTAACTCCTTTTATTTTTCTGGTGGTAGAGTTTGTTTCCCTTCTTTGAGCTGTGCTGGTGGAGGGTTGTCAGATGCTTGTGTTATTATGGGTGTTGTTGGCTTCCTTGGTTTGTGATTTTCCTTCTAGTATTTTCTGTAAGTCTGGGTTTGTGGCAACGTATTGTTTAAATTTGTTTTTTGTCCTGGAATATCTTGTTTTCTCCATCGATGGTGAATGCAAGCCTTGCTGGGTATAGTAGTCTGGGCTTGTATCCATGGTCTCTTAGTATCTTCAGTACATTTATCCAAGACCTTCTGGCTTTCATGGTTTCCATTGAGAAGTCAGGTGTAATATATAAAGGTTTTCCTTTATATATTACTTGACCTTTTTCCTTTGTAGCTCTTAATATTTGTTCTTTATTTTATATGTTTTATGTTTTGATTATTATATGTTGAGGGGAGGCTTTTTTTTTGATCCAGTCTATTTGGTGTTCTGTATACTTCTTGTACCTTCACAGGAATATCATTCTTTAGGGGAAAATTTTCTTCTATAATTTTGTTGAATATATTTTCTGGGCCTTTGAGCTGTAATTCTTCTCCTTCTTCTACCCATATTATTC